TTACACTGAATATGTTGCAGGACATTAGTTTCAGTGATGGGATAAACAAACTCTTCATCTACCTGAGGCACTGGTACTGTTGTGAATTAGTTATCTGTTTTAACGCGAATATTGAGTTCTGGGAACTGTAAAAAGAATTTTGTTATTTGTGTAAAAATAAATACCCACAATCACGTGACGTCTCTTATGAAGTTACACCTAGCCAAACTTAAATGACTCGATTTCAGAATTATGAATAGTGTAGTGAGTATTTAGCAAATATAGTGTTCGTTTTGAAATATGATCTGATCGAATCTATTAATTGTCAAGGCCAGAGACATCAACATTAATACTGTACTATTATAATGGTTTTCAGCAGTCTGTAGTTCGTTAAATGTCACGTACAAATATTTCATGCTTACACGAAGTTCTTTTTCTTGCTTTAACGATACCGTTGCGACGACCGTATTACGTACGTATGACGTCATACCGTAACAACGTGAACACTTTGTTAGCAACTGATATTGTTTCTTTTTTAACTCTGCACTCAGCAATGATAAAATACTCAGCAGTTATATGTAAATGGTCGAGTCTAGAACAAATAGTCCAATGATTAACATCATGAGCTTCGATCTGCGCAGTTGGGATGCGTTAACCCAAGTCAGCGAGTCTGCCCAAGCGTCCCGTAAGAAAATTCATACAGCATGGGTTTCTGAAGACCAATTCTAACCCGTATCTTCACAGAAGCAACTTATATAATACTCCTTGGTTGTAAAATACTTGGCAGCTAAAAATGAAGCAAGAAAGAAATGGTATTTCATTCGTTTCTTTGATACGAGTATCATATTTTTAAGGCATCTTTAGGTAACTGTTTTCAGTCTTGAAACGTTTTCGTGACGTTTGTACTATTCTGTTCAAAGGTTGTCTGGAGTATTCATTTATTGAATTGCACTTCCATTTGGCAGCATTGTTTGATTTAATGTAAGCAGATTAAGCTCCAATGATTCGTGTAAGTTTTCCTGATTCTAGCTGATTCTAATTAATCATAAATCTATGAATACATAAGTACATCTATGAATACATTAATACATCTGGGGGATGTTCCACCTGTTACGTGACATAATATCTCTTTGTTGTTTAACGCCGTAATCAGGAATATTCCAACTATATGATGGCGGTCGGTATATAATCGACTGTGTACCAAGCAATCCAGTGACCGACATCATGAGCGGCGATCTGTGCAGCTGGGATATGATGGCATGTGTCAACCAAATCAGCGATACCCGATCCCGTTAGTCGTCTTAAGACAAGCACGGGTTGCTGAAGACAAATTCCAACTGGAATCTTCAGACTTGGTAACATGTATGACGGAAATTCCTTTCGTTTTGGGCACAGACACAATACCCAGGTGCCATTAGACAACGCTACCAAGCTCCCTGTCGTCTATACTCGCTCCCCTGGTTCCAAACAAGTGAGGAATCCCATTGAGTTTAGGCAACTATATTTGAACTACCTGACACTTTTACAGGTCTGGCCTCCCGTTTGTCATTTTAAATCAATTAGTGAGCGAAGGTAGCGTCAAGACATGAATATTCGATCCAAAAAATTAAATTAGTCACCTAGATCGGACAACCTGTTCACAATGCCTGGTGGGGAGAATTTGTTGTTTATCGTGTTATGTGAAACCATCCACTGATCCTTAAAAACGCCCGGATGAAATGAAACAATTGAAAAACGTAGTTGTTAAAATGGAATAAATCCTGACTAGAGACTTAATGAGTTACAAAAATACAACGGGGATTTTCCAAGTATTTCTGACTGATTGAATTGCCGTTGTTGACGATTCCAATAGGAAAGCTTGGCTTAGCGGATAAGATTTACGCTTGTGAGAGATTTAGAATCTGGTCAGGTTTGGGAATGGAACGGCGGTGCTATCACTTTCTCTTTTATAATGCAAATACTGGTTGGATTGAGACACAAAAAACTATAAACCTTCCTTTCCTTCGCGACTTGGGAGTTCGTGGAATAAATTTGAATCGTCCATTAATCCAGATCTTTCGAAGGAAGTCTTGATGCAACAGCCACAAATTATTTCCCCCTTCTCTATCAGGGTTAAAATCGCGGAAACTATCCTCTATTGATGAAAAGTCTCTGATGTGAAAAGCACCCAAAGAAGAATTTATTAGTTTCCACTTAAGGGATTTTAATAAGTTCCTTTGGCGGAATTTTGCTTTCTCTGAAACGTTAATTTAAAATCCCCTTCATAAATAACAAGGGGCAACAATTACAACTTTTCTGAAAGAGCTTTTCATACTTAATATACAACATACACAGTAGAAAAGATCTAGCATGTGGTTTAATCTAAAGAATCGGTAATATTAAGTAAATGTACATGTTCAGCGCACTACGGATTTATTGAATTTGTTTGTTGTACGCATTTTTACTAAACTATGAAGAGGCCGTGTCAAAAAGTTCGTTTTATAAGCCTGTTCGATATAAACATATATATAGACTGAGAACCCAAAACATGCCAATATATATATATCTCGATGACGTAACGATTAAATTTGGAGGACGATCTCGCCATCTCAGGAACGTCGTTTTCTCCAGTTCGGGTTATTATCACTTTATCTAAAATAAATATATTTAATTAATGAGCAGTGTGTAGAATTATAAACCTAGACATATTTAGCATTAAGTATTGACATAATGGTAGTTCTAACTATACAGACATACAAAACATTAATAGCAAGGCGCATATTGTTATGTTTATTAAATTATAATGCTCATATGAACATTAAATACCCATGGTTGTGTGGAACAAGAGCATATTATGTATTTTTATTATTTTGTAGGCTTGTATGTTTAAATTAATTAAATTACTTCACTTTCCTTTTGCATTGGACAAGCACACGATGTCAGATTTGTCCGGTGTCGCACGTGCTGAAATATATGACGCACGAGAAATCATTGCTGTTTGTCACGTGTCAACCCAGCAACACAAACCAAATGCACGTGCCGACATCCAATCACAGCAGAATCTGTTTTTGAGTTAACAAAGAGAACATGGATTGAATAGCATACATATTTAAATACTTTATACTTACAATGCTTAGAGAAACAATTATCACTGATATTACTCGGAACAATGTGTTAAAAAATCTGCTTTCAATTTGCATGAGTAATAGGTTTCCAGGAACGAACTATCAAGTTTCACGACCGATTTTGAATTGTATCACGAGTTTTTATTTGTATATGGTAATGGCACGTCACAAGAATACGGTATTGGTAGCCCATATAAGCGCAAACGTCACCATCTAAACTCGGATTTATTTCTGTTTTGTGAGAAAATGACAACTGATGCTACCGGGTTTAACTTTAACTCTAATGGGCAGACGACGACCATTATGTTTTTTTCATTTATTTCATTCAGAAAGAAATAACCTCCTGGCCCAACTGTCAATGCAAAATGCACTAAAACAGGAATAGATATTTGTGTCCTTCCTAAACGAAAAGGGGGCGATTTTTATTTCACACCAGTGGCAATTCATTTTGCAATTAACGTACTTGCTTACAGCAAAATGTTTATGACTGAAAAAGAACAATATACCCCTGTTTTGTTTTCTTTAAGGAGATCAAATACAGATAAAGAAAATAGCTTGGCATTCAGTGTTCTACACGTATAAATGAGAACCTTCTACAGTAAATGCATTCGATATTTATACTAAAGTATTTTTACGTGAATGACAAATCGAACAGATGATAGCAACAGGTCTGTTTCATGTTTCACACGACAGATAAGAAACCAGTCTAGCTTTTAAAAAAAGAAACATCCTTATATATCGAGAACGGACTCTTTATTGAAAGGTGCTAAATTTCATTAAATTATATATAAATCTAGACGTATTTATATTTAAGTATGGATGTGCATTCATCAGATAATCACAAAGCATCCGCCTAATTAATTCAAGCAATGGCTTTTGGAATTTAGTGCCGATATAAAGCCTTCATGTATTCTTATCGATGGTAAGGAAAATCATATAGAACCTGATACGTATGAAATTCAAAATATTAAATATTAATATAAATATCTGGCAAGTTGAATGTGGCATTTTGAATTTTGTATGATCATTGTTTTTTTCGATAGCTTATCGTTCGAAACGGAATCACACACGGAGTTATAGTAGCAAAATTAAGTATCACCCGAACGTGTTTGTAAAATGATATATTATTTAAATCCAGGGCTTGTTTGATAAGCGACTCACTGGTCTTCCCTTTATCGTGTCAATTAATTTTCAAAAGCGTCATAAATTCACCTCAATGTGAAGATATACTACATGAGATTACTTATTTATAATATTGATTTACTTTTTTAGGTAAATTATTTGTTGATATGTTAAAAGAAAGGGATTATGTTCATCCATGTATTGTTTATCGAGACAAATTTGATGATAAATCTGTATATAGTTTCGTGCAAAATGTTACATGAAAAAACACACTAATCTATATCGTGTTGTAATGAGATAAGTTAACAGATAACATATTTGTGATTAATAAATTAGGTTTTGGAAAATAACGAACGAAGATTCTTGTCAGACTCGGGAATTAATCAGCACAATGGCCACATTTAAAATAGGAATTATTTAAAACGTTGAATGAAACGAAACTGATTTACTTTCTGCTAAATAAAATATGATACAGAAAATATATCATATACTTTTATGTTTTATATGAATTAGTCAGCAGTGGAAAATGTGAACTGATGAAGTTATAAGATATCTACATAAACAAAATTGTACAAAGTATAATAGATAAAAAAAACTTCGCTAAAGCATCAAATGATACTGACATGCTTTTTCTCAAAACAATTATTATACAACATGTATTTAATATTATTTACGTTCATGCAACATTTGATTATTTCGAAGCATCCAAAATATTTGAATATATGATCAGTGCATCGATTAGGTATATGTTTTCGTTCGATCCTCGTGTAATGTGCATTTTATTTATTCTTTCAGGTCCCAACTCTAACCAAAGACGCAGAGGGCGACAAACATACACGAGGTTCCAAACCCTAGAGCTTGAGAAAGAATTTAAATTCAACAGATATCTCACTCGAAGACGTCGTATAGAGTTGTCGCATATGTTGTGTTTAACGGAAAGGCAGATAAAAATATGGTTTCAGAATCGGCGAATGAAAGAAAAGAAAGAGTTACAGGCAATTAAAGAACTGAACGAACAAAGTAGGGTTCACGATAAAACAAAAGCAGAGGAAGCAGTTCCAACGAAATCTACAAGCTCATCGTCATCATGTGCTCAGAATTCGAATCAATCACATTCGCCCGAAAATTCAGAAAGTTGAAATAATTTATCTCCTTCGATGTTTTTGTTGAACTATCGGAGGCCGCCGGAAGTGGCGATACCTCCACTACCTCCGCTAATGAATTGTGGGTAAAACCTTAATGGATGACACAATGTTTGTGAACAATGTCGTCTGTTCATTATGTTTAAAACTGACGTGAACAATTGGCAACCAAGAACTAACACTACTCAACCAAAACCATTCGGCGGTCATGTTGTGTCCACGACGAAGCAAGTTTACGTGTCGTCTGTTCAAACATTGCATCATCTGCAGTGGCGCATTTCACACTCTTCTTAACGAAAACGATATCATCCACAACAGCACCAACTACTTCGCCGTTATAGCCTGAGTAAATTACGACATCGACATTACTATCGATAACATTTCCGTGTAACTGGTTACGTCAACGCAGCATTATTAATCGGCATATCTTGTGCTGATCGTCCCATACGGAAAGACGTAGCTCCGAAGAAGAAAGAACCAGTTCGCCTGTTGCGAAGTATCAGGTCGGAGCACGAGCAGATATGAAGACCGACACTATCTTAAAAAGCAACCGTGATCGTGAACATTGTCGTCTGCTACAATACCGCAGTGAATGCAACATCAGACGAGTAGTAACTGTCGTCTGCTGCCTTCAGTTTTGGCGGAAAAGCTTGTCATTTTGGACGTGATGTGTGTGTATTGCGCAAAACAATCATCACAATGAACTTGTATTTGAAATGGCAAGACCCACATCTGAATGGCAAGAACGTGTTTTCTCAAGAGCCAAAGCCGCTTCATTGTTTCATGTCTCATCCACCTTTGTAGAAAATCCGCCATTTTGTGTCGACGCCATCTTGAATATTAGGTCGTGTTCAGGGACTCACGTTTCACCACGTTTTATTTTTGTTCTTTACATATGTTAGCTTATTCTAATTTTTGTTTCGTATTTTTGTCATATTGTGATTATTGATGTTCACGAACTCTCGCAAGAGTGCTCACCTATAACGAGAATCCATGAGACTTCACGGTCTCGTGACCTTGACTTTGGTCATAGGGTATTTATGTGTGAAGGAAAACTTCACGCAAGCCCGAAAACTTACATGAGATGACGAGAATACAATATTAGTTTATAGTTACCCAGTGATTCATAACTTATCCTCATCGTTTATCGATCTCTCGTTATTTTTCACTCTTTGAATGAGATCTAACCGGCGGTTAGGAAACACACCCTGTACATGCGAGAAAAAAATGATTAAGGTTTAATGACGAGGAATACGTGTAAATGTTTATTGTCTCAACGAGAAAGGATCACTGGTAGATTATTGAATATTGTGTTAACATATGCTTGTGTTATTCACGATTGTGGTACCAATAATAGAGCTTGATAGGCTTATTGTGATCTAACGAGAGGAAAAATACAGGAGATTGGATTAAAATCTACTCTCATATGAAACCAAATAATTTATAGGTAGATATTAAGCATGATTTCTTTAAAATGTCCATATTTACCATTAGCAATTTACGATTTAGCATAAATTGATAAATTCTAAACATGTGTACATCGTATGTAGTCGACGTCACAAAATATATACACGTGCAAGTTTCCAAATTAAAGTACAAAAATCGACAAAGCTGCATTCACATCAAATCAAATTAAGACAGACAAAGAAACGGTTAGTAGCAAGTCAAATATTCTGCAAGAGCTATATATCAAAACGTAATTTTCCGAAATAGTTTATTCATATAACGAAAATCAAAATACAGCTTGTTATTCCTATACGTGTTTTCGTAATTTTTAAGATGTATAATTAGTAATATATATGTATAGGTTTCCTGTCACGTCCGTAGCTTAATACATCCATTAAGCTGGGTCGTTACTATTGCCCCCAAAACAAAACAATATCATCACCAGAGCATGTTCTGAATGAAAATCTCTTTGTTCAAAACGGACGTATCGGTAACTGCAACATAGCACCTGCTTGTCCATACATTATCAGACTTAATCCTTTATCATGCGATTGTCAAAACATATCTGCTGTTATTTCAGAAACGTCGTGTCTTTGTGACGACAATCACGGGCTGTCGCCACACTCAAATGCGCAAAATATGTATACGTGGTAATTATTTATAGTTTAATAAATCGAAAGTCACAATAACATTGTGTTTAACGAAATCAAATATTAATACTCTGGATCTGGATATCTTTTATAGGCATTAAGTGGCATTCATTCTAAGTACCGTTATTTGATAGAACAGGTATAGAGATATAAAAGAGGAACGATTTTATCGAAACTATGAGGTTTATAGAAAAATGGTAGTTTTTATCGTCATATTTTCTGGTTATCCAAGCGTCACTTATAGTTGTTATGACTGTATTGTGTTTTTCATTTACGAGATATTGATATAAACTATTCTGTAAGATTGTAAAGATCTATATTGCAGCCTGAATGTAACGAGAACAATGTTGATATAGATTTTTGTTTGATATTAAATGTCTGATCAAATATATGCACACATGTGTTTTTTATTTATGTATCGATTATTAGTTAGAACAAAGATTGTCCTTTCACAAAAGGGTGAACAACACTTTTCGTTGTAAAACCATATCGAAATTAGCATGTAACTAAGTTCGCTGCAGTGAAAGGTGACATGGTTTAAGGTTCATGGATGGAACCTGAATCCATGAGTTATTTTCATGTCCCAGTTAAGAATTTCATTTTGAGAATGTAACTACAAATATATTGAAATAAAATTAAAAAGACGGAATCGTATTGGAAAATATGGTTCAACAAACCATTGTTAAAGATTGCGGGGGAACATTGGGGTTAGCAAAGAATATAGACAAGGTATGTAGAAGATGTTCACTTTATTGCATTGGTAATTGTATATAAGATGTCTTCGATCTGTTATCGATCCAGATTAAGTAGAGATACATATGCAAGGTAGTATTTCTTAATATGTACGCTTAATATTAACCAGTCAACTAACAACGCGCACTCAAGGTTGCGTTCTCAACGATTACTGATTTTCACCAACACAATTTAGTATCAATATTCTTTTCAAATGGAATATGACGAATTGTACATGGAGAAAGGTTATATAGAAATATACACGTAAATGCTCATACACAAATGCACGCACACAAATGCACGCACACCATTCACATATCAACGCTAATCAAATTAAAAGCAATAATATGAAAATTGGTTTGATGATTAATAGAACCACGAGAAAGTGAAAACATTATTGTTTATAACTTGAGTTCTCTTTTACCGATTAATTTTCAACATTCTGTGATTTTTAACACTAGTAAACATGAAAGACCTGACATTGATTCATTTTTCACAAGAATTTTCTCACAAATCTCTCATAGATATTCCATGGTCACTGACATACATCATCGTCATTTTATGAAGTCGAAACTTATTTGAAGCATGTTCAATAGTTCAATAAAACATCATGATCAGTCACAGTCTGCACATGGAATACATACGGAGTACATTCTGAGTACACATGGTGTACGATTTAAGAGTTTTGCAAACATCCAGTCCGTGATGGAAATACAACCCTCTTTAGGTACATTCTGTTATTGATATAAATAATGCATATTTCCTGTTTCAGTTCAACCAAACCCTTTCCATTCACATATTCACGACTGAGTAACTTACTAAGAACAATACTATTACAAGAAGGGGGTCAAGTTTAACCATGAGATGTGAACTGCCAGGGAAAAGAAAGTATACACTTGAAAATTGGATTTGATAAAAAAATAAAAAATATTTAATTTTTTGTTTTTTAGCTAAGTCGTTACTAGGCCGAAAACGGTCGCTTGAACACTGCAAACATAAGGTCCAAAACCACAGGAGTGATACCTGTAATAAATACATCACCATCGAATAACCCTTTGTTTGTTTCAGTTGTAGCCACTATCAAACACCTATCATTTCTTTGGTCCGATAGTTCATGTATGGTCACTAGATTATTGATGCGAAATATGTTTAGATTTTTATGCGTTTTGAATATTTATTGGAAATACGTCTCCCTGGAATATATACTACATTTAGGATCAATGTACTTAAACACATTTTCATTTTTCCCTGCCAAATTCTCTTTTTTGCAATAAGAAATAGATTCATAATGAAAATATTTCACCACAAGTAAATACCATTTTGTCGCTTTCAGACAACTTTCGACATGTTGTTTTTCTTATTAGAATTTACTAAACGTTGTACCTTATAAGAAAATTGATGACAGGCAACCTGAAGGTTGTTGCGTGCCTAAGTTATGTCAATGGGGACGGAAATGGACATCAGTATTTTTATGTCATACCACGTGACAAGTCCAAGTCGCCACACACGTTGTACAAGGCGATCTCACTCGGACAAATCTCGTTCATACCGACAGCCTTGTCAAGAAAATATTACGTCGGCCGTCACTTGTTGCCTGAAGCGACGTCTGACGTTGAACACACGTCCTGCCCATGGAAAGACCTGCCCCTACCCCGAAGTACGAGCGTAGACGACTGTGGAGAGGAACCGGCCAAGGCAGTTGGTAGACACCAATGTTTAGTCTGGCGCCACTCTGATTAATGGCATTGTCCACTTGTCATCATTTAGTAGCGACCTGACCACGGCGATTAACAACTCGGCTGCTTATTGGCTAATATTTGCTGAAGTTACACTTTTGGAATCTTTACGATTTGGTGTCCGAAATATCGTTTTATATATGCATATGTATGAAATTGTTGAGAGTTTTGGCGATAATAAGAGAAAGAGATAAATGACTGAAGAATTTATCCAACATATGGATGTAGAATGGCTGCGTGTTTTTCATAAACTGTCACAACAAGGAAATATACCTTGTAGCAAGCACAAATTTTAAGTTAGATTGATTGATTTATATTTGTTTCATCTTTGGGACATCCATGACTTAAATATTCCAATGATCAAGTTTAATATAATTGTAGAACATTTAAAAGAAATTACATAATACTGATCGTGAATTCACCGAAATACAGATGAGATATATCTGAGAAGCATAACGACAGAAAAACGGTTTGGTTGAAGAACCACATTTCATATTTGCACTATAATTTTGCTTGACATTTGCAGCAATGTTATAATTCGCATAAAGTTTGGCATGGGAATTATCGTTAATTGCAAATCGTGACGCTTCGTTGTATATTGTACTATGTGAGCACCTTACCTGAACGAAAATAATGAAAGGTTCTATGTAATGGAAGACAAAATTAGTTCGTATTGTATCTAAACAAGTAAACAAACATGTAAGTTATGTTTTCAACTCGAAATACAATACATGTGCTGTCGAAGCCTGTTAATTCGATCCCCTATGACTCGATTTCGATTTTTTCACCTTTGTATGCCTGAAGATCGTTATCATAGCTTTAAGCTTTGTCCGGCGTTTAATTACGCCTTGTGTACTTACTTGGATGGACATTATTATTAATTATTACGGTTAAACGATCACTTAACGTCTAATTACAAGTTACTGAAAGCAATTAATGTTGCGAGTACAAAAAAATATGCAATCTTAAAAAATGAGAGTAAGCGTATTCATTTTACTCCGATGTGAAAATGATGCCACGTCGAAACTTACACGTGATATTGCATGAGATTTTTTCTCAGATTTTTGCAACAATTACTAAAATGTTTTTGGTTCATGCAAGAATCTGAAAAGGTCAAATCTGTTTGTAATGCATTTGCCCCTTTCAAGCAAGAACGTGTTTTTTTCGTTAAAGGATGTTTTTCGAAGCAACTGGTTTGGGAAGACATAGGAAGACGGACTAAAATATTTTTGACGTATTATGATGAAACTATTAACCTTTAATAAATGATCAAAAATATAAAAATAAGACATTAACCTACCCTTGAGCTGAGATGAAAGTTTGATGTATTGGCATTAACACTGACTTAGTTCATCTCATATATTTCTTGAAACGGAAACAGTGTTCGTTTCACCCAATTCATACTCTGAAGGTTTGGACATTGAATTTGTTTACCATACACGTTTCTTGAAGACGCAACCAATTATTCATTTTACCCGAATTTTGCCTTGAAGACGTGAACACTGACTCAGTTTATCACACACATGTTTCTTGAAGACGTAACCAATTATTCATTTTACCCGATTCTTGCCCTGAAGACGTGAACACTGACTCAGTTTATCACACACATGTTTCTTGAAGACGTAACCAATTATTCACTTTACCCGATTCTTGCCCTGAAGACGTGAACACTGACTCAGTTTATCACACACATGTTTCTTGAAGACGTAACCAATTATTCACTTTTCCCGATTCTTGCCCTGAAGACGTGAACACTGACTCAGTTTTTCAGACACATGTTTCTTGAAGACGTAACCAATTATTCACTTTTCCCGATTCTTGCCCTGAAGACGTGAACACTGACTCAGTTTATCACACACATGTTTCTTGAAGACGTAACCAATTATTTACTTTTCCCGATTCTTGCCCTGAAGACGTGAACACTGACTCAGTTTATCACACACGATTCTTGACGTAACCCTGAAGACGTGAACACTGACTCAGTTTATCACACACATGTTTCTTGAAGACGCAACCAATTATTCACTTTTCCCGATTCTTGCCCTGAAGACGTGAACACTGACTCAGTTTATCACACACACATGATTCTTGAAGACGTAACCAATTATTCACTTTTCCCGATTCTTGCCCTGAAGACGTGATTCTTGACTCAGTTTATCTGAAGATGTGAACGCAACCAATTATTGACTTTTCGAGTTTAGTTTATCACACACACATGTTTCTTGAAGAAGTGAACCAATTATTCACTTTTATCAAATCTTGCCCTGAAGACGTGAACACTGACTCAGTTTATCACACACACATGTTTCTTGAAGAAGTGAACTTCCACTCAATTTATCAAATACGTTTACTGTACGCTGACTCAGTACTTTCGGCCATATTGCAATTGTGTGTGTATGAATCACATCAACTTATGAGGATACCAAGTGTTCACATGGTGAGCATTTCCTCTCCATTGATGGCAGGGGTCACCAATACATGGACAGGCAATTCAATTGGTCACGCGAAAAAGGGAGAATATAATGGGATAATTAATGTTACATCTGATATCATCTTGATCACTGAAATGGGGGAACATAGTGGGAAAATTAATATTAATTAGTGGGAACATTAATATTACATCTGATATCATTTTGATCACTGAAATAACATAGTGGGAAAATTAATATTACATCTGATATCATTTTGATCACTGAAATGGGGAACATAGTGGGAAAATTAATATTACATCTGATATCATTTTGATCACTGAAATGGGGAACATAGTGGGAAAATTAATATTACATCTGATATCATTTTGATCACTGAAATGGGGAACATAGTGGGGAAATTAATATTACATCTGATATCATTTTGATCACTGAAATAGGGGAACATAGTGGGGAATTAATATATTACATCTGATATCATTTTGATCACTGAA